TGTTTGAAATAGGTAGCTCGAGCTCGTTACTCTGCCAGTTTTTGGCCATTAAGCTCGAGTTTTGTTTGAAATAGGTAGCTCGAGCTCGTTACTCGGCCAATTTTTGGCCTTTAAGCTCGAGTTTTGTATGCAATAGGTAGCTCAAGCTCGTTACTTGGTCATTTTTTGGCCACTAAGCTCAAGTTTCCTTTTTTTTCTTTTTAGGATCGTGAGGTCTTGCGTGGATAGTGAGTACTCTACCCGACCTCGACCTCTACTTGCTTTTGATATGAGGGATGCCTAGGTCAGGGTCATGTGGTTGAGTGTGATTTTGGAGTACAAGTAACATGCGCAGAGCACGACTTTACGCTAATTTAATGTGTTAGCTGCATGCACGAAGCACAACCTTATGCTAATTTAATGCACTAATTGCATGAGCGGAGCACGACCTTATGCCAGTTTAAAGTGTTAGTTGCATGCGCGGAGCACGACCTTACGCTAATTTAATGTAAACTCTTAGTAGATGCGTTCGAGGTGAATTTTTAAATATCTTATAAAATAACGTAAAGGTACATGGGCGCGTAGGCCTTGAAAGAAAAACAACTTAGGGGCATGCAAGCCCGAGCTAAAAAAAACCAAAAAAATTTAATCCTAACATANGGTACATGGGCGCGTAGGCCTTGAAAGAAAAACAACTCCGGGGCATGAAAGCCCGGGCTAAAAACTACCAAAAGAATTTAATCCTAACATAATGCAGATTGAGAAAAAAAAGACAAAAAACAAAATAACCTAGATATCTGGGGGCGTAGCCGACTATTTTTTGGCTGTGGTTGTAGCATCAAGATCTTGACCAATGATAACTTTTCAACCATGCTCGAGCTCGACCTCATCCATCTACTATACTGGAGCAAGCCTTCCACGGTGCTCGAGGTTAGGTATTTGTACTTGAGGTAAATAGGGTTTCTAAGTGTTTTTTATTGGTAACAAAAAAGAAAAAAAGAAAAGGGAAAAGAAAGTGGAATCAGATGGAATACTGGTGCACAGAATCTTGTACTAGAAAAAGATACAACTAGAAGAAACACATTAGAGGAGAAAGATAAAATGGTATACCCTTGCAAGGATTTAGCAAAATCTCACAACACAATTATCGTTCTTCATAATGATAATATCTTGGAATAAAAGATTATCAAATACTTATTGTCTAGAGAAATGGACTAGGACTCAATTTGAAACTAGTATTTAATTAATTAATTATTTCTGAGACCAGAGCAATCCAACATGACTAAGCACATAAAATAAGACTAATTTGCGCTAAAAATTTGAATGATAAGACTGATATACAATAATTGCTACAAACTACTTAAATATCGTGAACTCTTGAACTTAATGAAAAATAACTATCTTGTAAGGAATGACACTAAAATATCTACAGAAGAACTCCTTGCAAATATCAAGGGTGAATCAATTTTATTTATTAAATAAGTAGGGACACTTTTGTCAATGGTGAATCAATTTCACGCTATTTGTTAAACATACGAGTTTTCACAGTAGTTGTGTTTTTTTTTTTTTAATAACCGTGAGTGTCGGACTAGCTTGCGCGTATCTCGACTAATCCCACTAGGCCCTGAAATTTACTGCCGGGTACTTATCTCAGTGACCCTGAGAGGACTCGAACTGGTGACCATTGGAGACCCAAGGCTTGACCAATTGAGTAACTACTCAAGGTTCACAATAATTGTGTTTGTCAATGCCAACTTATCTATTTTAATAGTTGCTTGCTGAGAACAGTCAAGAACATAATTGGTTTTTTTCCCATTCAGGTTGTTGAGTTATTCAAGCAGAAAGGCTTCGAGTGGACTGCAGAAGGTAAATTTTGATCGCGTTCTTCTCTTTCTTCCTATTTTCTTGAATTTATATAATATGCTACATCTATTCTTTAGTTCATCATAACATTTATTCATCATTTGCTTTTCTATAGATTGGATTTACAAATCATACAGAACACACATGTTCCATAGAAGAGAGAATCCAAAGACTAAAGATTTACTAAAGGAAAATCACCACAAGAATATTTGGAGAAATATACCCCAGATGAGTGAGGTGTAAAAAAAATAATACTCATGCACTAGAAATTGTCACTTTGAGAAAAAAGATGCTATCAAAATTTCGCCCCTGTTTGGCTACATTAAAATGAGTTTTTTTTTTTTTTTGAAGAAATGTGTTTAGGAATAGTGATTTTTTTAGAAAATATATGGTTAAAAAATAAGGAGAAATTTTAAATTTACGTGTAACATTATTTTATGTGAGAATGTGTGGTTGAAAATGAGTTTTGAAAAAATGGAGCTCAAACAGGCTTTATTTTCTGCATTCTCTTGTATGCTTTGATGCTTTAATTTTGTCTTTGTATTTCACACGTGATTTGCACGTTCGTTGCACGTGTTTGATCATGCTTATTTTTATTTATCAGAATTTTGTGGAACAAATTGGTAGTTTAAAAGTTATACCAATTTAGGCTAAATTATCGTTTCTTCCCCAACCTTACACCACTTTATACTTTTGCCCGAACTTTTTAATAAGACCTTTACCTTTAAACTTTCATTAATTAACTTTAAGCTTTAAGCTTAAGAAGTCACATTGAACTTTCCATCAATCCAGGGTAAAAAATCCAACTTTCAATCTCTGAACCATTCACCTCCTAAGCCTCCTACTCATAACTATTGGCAGCCATCGGGTGAATTGTTGCCACGTATGATTATGGTAGTGTTCCTACGCTGCCACCCGGGCCACCTCCATCTTACATGATGAGCCCAATGGTGCCTTTTGCCCACAAACCACCGCAGATGGCTCAGCAGCAACCACTAATGATAGGCCATCAGCCATCAACACTTTCTCAGCAGCAAACTGGACCAATACCTCAACAACTGCATGAAACTCCTTGTTCGCGGCCTCTTGCCCCATTTCAGGCACCTGGGATGCTGTATTATGGTCACCCCTATTAGTCATAGTGAAAAAACTTAGAGCATGTTCTCTTTATCGTTTTCAAACCGTTTCCTATTTTCGATTTTCTAAAACAATGAAAATGCGTTCTCTTTTCTATTTTCGAAAACTTGTTTTTGAAAACAAGTTAAAAATTTACAAAGAAAACTCAAAACGACTGTCTTTTTGGGTGTTTTCAGTTATAATCAAGCGAAAATTTCCAAAACGCGTTGTGAGTGTTTTCGATCACTTGAGAGAGAGAGAGAGAGAGAGAGAGAGGGGAGGGGAGGGGAAAGTAAACGAGTTTTTCATTTTATTTTATTTTTTTTAAAACAATTTTTCAAAATGCTAAAAAGAACACATTTTCAACAATCTCAAAATGGACACTTAAAACACAAAACTCAAAATGAATTCAAAACTCAAAACATAAAACTGAAATACAAAGAGAACAGCCCCTTATTAATCCAATCTTTTGTCCATTATATATATGGGTTATTAATCATACAGGTATGCAATTGAAAATAAACTAGTAGTGCTGGTTATGAATTGCTATTTATCTATCTTTAGGGCTGGTTCACTCTCCATAAAGTGAAACTATTAGAACTTTTGTTTTAGGTTTCACAGCTCTCTCCTACAATTTTTTCAATTTTGGTGCTTAGTATGTGAGTTGCACATCCATTGCACACAAATTCTCGTGCTTAATTTTATTTATTAGAATTTTGTGGAACACATTTTTTTTCTCAAATTATATCCACTCAGGGTTCTTATTAACTTGTTTCAGTTATTAAAGATTCTTTCATATGGATCATATGTTATCTAATATGTAACTTTATAATAATAAATTAATGTCAAACATGCATTAATTTTAGTTGTAGACTAATGGAAGCATTTTATTAGTGAAAAATTACCTATTTGGTAGGGATCAAAATCTAAACTTTTATCAAAGTTAAAGTAAACAATTGATTTGAACAACATATATTTTATGGGACTCATAACCTTTCAAGCATACATTTCATCAATTTTTATCAAAATCTGCTAAAAAGCTGGTCTTAGGCCATGTTTGATGTGTAAAATTTTCCATGGAAGTTGAAAAATATTTTCCATTTTCCACATTTTTGACTGTTTGATAGCCAAAACTTTCTAGGCAATTGATTTTCCAACTTTGCCTCATTTTCCAGCATTTCCTTGAATTTGCTTTTCCACCTATTTGGTGATTTTTGGTTTTCCAGCTCCTTTTTTTTTTTGTGCAATGGAAACAAATTATATCCTCAATTGTAAAAAAAAAATTATCTTTAATGGATAATTTTCATATAAAATGAAGTCAAATGAATACCAAAAGATCCAAAATTTCGATATTTTTCATGTGAAAAATTATACTAATCAAACATAATTAATTGACAATTCCCAATAAAACAATTCTAAGCAATTTAATTCCCAAAAATTCATTTTCTTTCCACCCAAATTATACTCTTGCAATTAAACGGACCCTTAATTCCCAACAAACAGGGCTAAATGTTAACTTTTAAAAATGTTGTTTTCAGTCACATGCAATTGAGATTTTCTTAAAGATATATTTAACCTTGTAAAAGGACACTTCACCAATTTCAGTTAAAATTAAGTGATTCATGATGATAATAGCTTGGAATA